TACTCATTTTAAATGCATTCAGCTACAGTTTTATGAACACAGTCTTTCAAATGTATAAAGAGGAGTTTCTTCAATATGGTTTATAGTATGAAATTGAACTACACAATTCTGTTCTTTTCCATGACAATGAAAATATAAATACAGATTTAAGTTTCAGAGATCTTTTTCAGAATAAAAAAGCTGCTTCCAATAGACATTCCCTTTGTTATTATACTGTATGCAATTGCCTGGGAGCAATTTAAAAGAGAGCATATGCAGAATTAGTACATTCAGAATTCATAGAGAGGAATTTGCATCAGATTGTGTCTTGTGAAGCACTGTTCATGGATGAACAGTTACTCTGATACACTAGAAAACACACCAGTGCACAGAATCCACATAGACATAATCTTTAAAGATTTCTTACAGTACTCTGCCATTTACAACTTTCTAACTTCAATTGGATGTAATTTGTGGTTTAAAACACAAATATTGTATTAAGACTAGTTCTATACTCTATACAGTATCACACTATAACTAGAGAAACTTATATAAAAAATTCATAAAACAAACACTACAAACTGTTCTAAAAATTGGGATAAATGAATCTATGATCCATAAATATGAATCCTGGTAGGTTGTGTAGTTTGTATTTCTGACAATATTGTCTTACTCATATTCTGTATACTCACATAAACAAATTTATTTTTAGTGAAAAACAAAATACAGTATACAACTGCAATATCGAAACAATAAAACTTCCCATTATTACTGTATAATTAAAGCTGGAATGTACAGATTATTAATTCTTGTCTCCTGAAGACATTTTGAGTATTGTGTTATACCCTTAAATGCACAACATTACCTTAATTGTGCATTTTATATTTCATAGTTACATTAATAGCTGTAAAACCCATGAGAAGAGAGGACATTGCCAAATTTATTACATATCCAACAAAACACATTTTAATCTCTATCCAAGTGCCAGTCAGTTGTGATGCGCTTTCTCCAAGACGTTTCACTAAACAACAAAACACTTTGCACCAACATTTTGTAATTTCAGGAAATGGAACACCATAGTAAGGGTCTGAATACTTCTGGAAGGCACTGTATAAGCCAATTTAGTTAAAAGCTCTCTATAGGAACAGTCTTTTGAAAATTGAAGTACAGAATGAAAAAAAAAATGAAAAAAAGCATATCTGGGAAAGTAAAACAAATTCAAAATTGTGAATGTACAACATTAAAAAGTATATTCATTCCTAATTTCAGTCACGCCATTCCTCCACACTGTGAAGTACTGCAATGTTGTGGATATGTATACGATTATTAATATATCAGGTACTATTGTACTGAGCTAACTTAATCTCAAATCCCAAGACTTCTCTGAATATCTCTGAAAGTCTCTGAAAGAATGGACTTGAGAGTATAATCACAAAATCTTATTACAATAACTTGTTGAAAATAAATATTATCAATGCTTCTTCTTCTCTCTCCCCCTCCTTTTTCTCTCCAATTCTCTTTATTGAAGGTTACTGTGCCCTTGCTGTGCACTTAAGCACATGTCACAAAACCTTCATCACAAGGTAGTGAAAGCTGAGTCAGCAGCATTTAGGTACAGAGAGGAGATTCGCTTTGCTTTAGATTATTGCAAAGAAAAGCAAAAGCTTCTGGATAAGATTGTACAAGATTCTTTTGATGAGAAGCAGCAGCTCGCTGGACTTTCGGTGTCCCTGGAGCACCTCATAAATAATGCATGTGATATGGAGCTGTTGTCTCAGAGGCAAACACTGATGCATCTGGAAGAATGCATTGCCAGCAAGCACTCTCCAACTGCACGAATGTCTGGAGACACACATCCGGGAGCTCCACTGACAGAAGGTTCGAGGTCTGTAAATCAGCCAGGATTCTGGGGCTTTCCGAGCTGTTCGGAGGAAAACGGCTGCCGTGCAAGAATCTTCAGGAAAAGGAACTCAGCTTTCAAATTGGTCAATCTTAGCCGGCTCAGTCAAGGAAGAAGGCGCGGTCACTTAGTCTGCCCCACTGGAGTTGCAGTAACTCACGACGGGTTTGTGTTTATTACAGACTGCAGCAACAACAAGGTGCAGGTGCTGGATTCCTCCAGAGACATGTGGGTTTTTTTCAGAAAGATGAAGGAGACTCCTTCAAAACAAGTGGGATCCCCAGCGGGCATAGCAATCTCCAGCCTGGGCTATTTAATCGTGATTGCAGAGCCAGAAAAAAAACAGGTCTCTGTTTACGCTAGGGATGGCAGAAGGCTTTTCTCCCTAAAACTGAACTGGATGAAGCCCTTTGGAGTGGCAGTTAATTCAAAAGGACAGATAGTAGTGACAGACAACTGTGAAAATGGAAGTCTCTCAGTTTTGACAGTGGACTGGACTAATGGCAGTGTGTTACATTTGCAGTTAATAGGAGGCCTGGAATACCCATGTTTTGTGGCCTGCAGTAAAAAAGATGACACTGCCGTTACAACAAAAAACTCGGTAAAGCTGTATGATGCTACTGGGTACCTTACATGGAGCAGCAGTCTTGAACAAGGAAATAACCAGGTTTTTATTTGCCCAAAAGGCATTGCAATTGACAGCGACAACAATGTAATTGTTTCAGATTACAGCTCTGGCAAGATTGTTCTTCTGAGCAGTGAAGGGAGGTGGTTGATGGATATAGTTTCATCAGGGCTTATGGGACCTCAGGGTCTGGCATTAAGCCCTGACGGGCTGCTTGTGATAGCTGACAGTCAGAACCACAGCATAAAGGTGTATTCTTATCGACCTGTAACCACTTGGTGTCAAGAGCCAGAATTTAATGATTAAATGACAATGAGGAATAAAATATAAGCATTGACTGACACACCCCTGAGTATTTTATACCAGATTCAACATCTAGCAAATTACACTAGCCCAACAATCCTATTGATAAAATAATAGTCACTATATTATATAATTAGCGTATCATACTCTTTTCACAATAATATGCCTTGAGTTATATGGCATTGATAGAGCAGGAGATGCTCCTTCACTTCCCTGTGGACCAAAATGTTCACAAATCATCCATCAGATAAGTTGTTAAACCAAGTTCCTGACTACTTGGTGATTAGAGATCCAGCGGCACAGTCATAAGAGTAGGGTTAACACCCTAAGATGCCATCTTGATTCCACTTTGGGATTTGGGCTCTAAATCTAAATCCCTCCTTTTATTCTAGCTGGTGATGTCATTTCTCACTCCTCACCTGATGAGCTGTGAAGTGGGTCTGCTGGCACAGAATGGTAGCTAGTGAGGTATTAACTGGGAATCCTCCTATATGTACAGTACTACGGAATCCTTTGATCTAAAAATCTCTATATAAAATATATAGATTTTTATAATTATTGAGGTTGTTATGTTTATTATGTCCCTAAAACCATATATATAATCATGTACATTTTAAGGCGAAACCAGCATTTTGTATTCTTATGATCCTGCCTGAATATTAACATTTCAAAGGTTACATTTACTACCTCTCTGCAGTTCCAAATATATAATTATTTAACTGATAATTATTTAGAAACATTTGCTGAAATAATCAACGGGAGTTCTGTTTATCACTCTGCCTACAGATGCAAAGCACCAAAGCTGAATCTATCACTAAGCCAAACAAAAGACCCATTGTAGATATCGTGAAAAGGAAAAAAAAAACACCTGGGACAAAAAACATGAAACCACCAAATTATCCATACTATTGCACACTCATAAGGAAAAATGGATGGCAGTCTTTCACGACAACAAGATCTTTAAATTTATGTGCCCGGCCCTAGTTACCATATTGCAAGTGCTTTATGATTGAAGCATTCCCATAGCTTTAATGCCAGTGCTTAGTATAGTGGCCGCAAATGAGAAACATATGCTAACTATACATCTAGTAAATGTAATCACTCTAGTCTCTGTAACTCCAGGAAATGCACTATGGTACTAAATTAACTGTATGACAAACAAATGTATAAATGTATAAAAACTGTATAAAATCGGCAATTATACCATACCTGAATCAAAGGTGCATTTAGAAAAAGTTAAAACATGCCACTGACTGTGTCTAGCATTACTCATAGCTATTATTCTGTATTAAATGTGCTGTGTGACCATTATGCTCTGTATTATCTCTCACTGTTTTATGACTTTTGTCTCAACTTTGAATGGTGCTTTTGTCTATTCTTCAGCGTGATCTATTTTATACCAATTTTGTTTCTTTTCTTAATGGGAGTAAGCAGTGATGTCACCATTCAGTACACATAGACACATACTCTTCAGTCTGGAAACTTTTGGTAATTGCATATAAAACTATCTGATGCAAATTGCAGTCTAAATGACAGGATAAGATAATGGAGAAAACGTCCATTTAACTATTCATTTGCTTCCTTGTTTCACTGTGATTTGATTGTAATTTAAAGTGCTACTCCTAGGAAGGCTGTCTTATTGTGCCATGAATTAAAGTAAAAGTGCCACCACATTATGTAAAATTAAAAATTATAAACCAGTCTCTCTATTTACTTTTCTAAAAGTATTTTTAATAATAAAAATGCTTTAAAAATTTGGAGTATTTGCCATTTACTAAGCAAGAATTCCAAAATATTCGAGCATTCAATCTGCACAAAACAAGTAATTTCATAAGTTTAATTTGATGAGACTCTTGATAGCAAGAAAAATGTATAAAGTATACAGTTCATAAATATACACATACTGTACATGTCAGATGATTGGTTAAAGGAACAACCTCCGAGTTCCCACAGATCCATTTACTGAACAAGAGGATTTACACCAGAATTTAAAATTAAATGACAAGGAGGATTCTAATTATTTTTTAATAATACATTTCTAGCATAAGTAAACTTTTCACAAGTTTGTTTCAAACAATACACATTTTGTTTAAAATGTCCAGAGGACATGAATATTTTTGTGTGCTGTTTTTTTCTGTCTGCCTAAGGGGAATAGGAGGACTTTGGAGGCAAATGCACAAGTTTATCTGTTACCTGTATTCCTGTCAGGTAAAATACAGCAATGCTTCTGCAGAATTCTAGGCAACACCTGTTGAAGACATGAGAAAGATAATGTTATTAAATGTAGTAGCTAAATCAATGTCGCTAAGTGGTCTGGATAGGCCTTCTTAATATGATCGATATTCTACAATGGGTGACTTTTTAGAATGTGTGTTCTATTGTCACTGATGATATTGGGTAGAATCCAAAGAATTGTTCTGTCCATCACTTTTTCATGTAAGAGAATTTAACCTGGAAATGCACACTTATTTCACATGAAGGGAGGAGTGATACATAATTTGTCAATTTAGCCATGTGTGCAACAAACTACATATTTCACAGAAGGCTCCCTGGGAGTACTATTTCAGAAAACATTTGCAGAAGAGAATCTCAGCAGGAACTCCATGGCATTCAGGTGATAGAGTTTATACTGGCTAAACAAATACAATAGTGCTGTCATGTTTAAGTAATTCATACTTAGCTGTTTCATACTTTATTTGAATTCTGTTATTTAGATATTTTGTCAAATAGAAGAGGTGAGGGATTTGTCAGAGGTGAAAGTGACCTTACTACTAAATAATATGCTGAATATGGCACCTTATTTCTTGACTAATTAAAATAATGACAAAAATAATAACAATAAAAACATACTCAATTTACACTGGGAACATGGATGTTATACTTTTGTATTGACTGAGCCTATACATACCCCTTACCAAAATATCCCCCTGTCCTGGCATCCAGAGCAAAGAGACAGTTTGGGCATAGATAGCATTACCATAACCATAACCATAAAGTCGAAGAAAACAGCATGAGATAATAGACATTTCACACTGTATCAGTGCTTCTGTGTATAAATAAGTATATATTTCTTATTTTGCCCTTCTGATTTACCATACGTATAAATAAGACAAGCCATGACGTACTCCAAGACTCTTTATTTTGACCTCTAAAAGCAAAATGTCTCTCTCAAGTGTGACTGCTCACATCAATCGATTTATCGTGAAAATGCTTACACATGGGAAACAATCCAATCTAATCATTGTGTTTTCTTTCTTCTCTTTTCAGCATGGAATAAACCTATTATTTGTTCCTTTGCAGCTTACACATGCTGACGCAGCTACCCACCTGGACTAAATAATAAGTATTTAATAAAATGAGTTTATGTTTGCCTCAAAAGATCTTACATTTACTTAATGATTGTCCTCATACAAAATCTACTGTACTGTGTGTAAAACAATTTTCTTTGTGAATGTAATTGTTGGGCAATCTGTTTTGATTTTGAAAAAAAAACACATAATTTCTCTAATTTCTCTATACAATAACCTTAAAATACAATTTGTGAAAACTGCGAAATGCAGTCAAAAGGTTACTATCACGCCCTCTACACCTAAAGGGCGCTCCTGTCCTTAGTTTCCTGTGCTTTGCTTGTCCTTCACTCACAGTATCCCAGGTCATTGATTACATACACTAAGTTACACCACCCTTGGTGGTACCACATTCCCTGTGATAACCCTTTGATGGCTAGGTCCAAGCTTTTATGACCTCCTTACGAGATCATACTTAAGATCCTACTGAACTACTTGCTTGCTAAGGTATGTCACTGCCCATGCCACTGTCACTGCCCATGTCACGGACTCAGAGCAGGGGGACACAAACAGCAGCTTCTCACACAAATCCCTTGCAGATACTAATGGGTGTAAATCCTCATATGATTGTTCCCATTTGTCCGGAACCACTCTACAGCCTATGTCATCTTACTAGAGGTCTGACATGGAAACGACCAAGTCTGTTACTATTCCAGAGCCTCTTCCAGCTCCTCACTGTAACATTGTCTTGGAGCACCCTCCCCCTCGGTGTGACTATAACACATCGGTAGCTACTGGTTCACCTCATGTTCCTCCAGCCTGCCTTTCCACTTCATGCCGACCTACAGCCTCAACCCCGTGTCACCAGGTTATGTTTGGTGTAACTAGGCCTTGGAGCACCTTGGTGTAAGTTCAACCTCTACAAGCTGCCATCACACCTCACACCCACCCAGCCTGCTCTTCAACTTCCCGTCGGCATTGGCATCTCGTCGGCATCTCAGCCATACTCTGTTGCTCTGCCGGGACACACTGCACCCAGCTTTTCGACTTCTGCGTAATTCCGCTTAACTGACGTTTCAACCCAGGAGGCTGCAATGTTATTGGCCGGGCCAATGCAGCGCCTCACGCGCCACCGCTGCAGGCAAACATGTGCCTGCACTTCCGTCGCTCCAGGTCAGCCACTCCTGCTGTCGCGCTTCCACCAGGTGAGCACAACCTCAAAGCATACCGCTCCGGAGAAACACTCTTGCTTCCTTCTGTGTCCAGCACTGCGGATAAGCTGTCAGCTCTCTGTCTCTGTCTGTAGACAGGTAAGTAGGCAGACTGTATATCTAATCCACGAATCATTGACTCCCTATAACTGTGGTCTTTTAAAGACACTTGCATCCTAGAAAAAGTGCTACCACTCAGTGTTCCTGCCTTGGGAGGCATTACGAAAGCCAATGTTTAATATGTCATTTTTTCCAACACTGGTGAGATATAACCAAAAATAAACCAAACTGATATGAACTGTGCAAAGTCAACACATTTAAAACACATATAAAAGGGTAGTCTGTCACGGAGTGTAAAAAGTATTCAAAATAACCCGCTTTATGCTCCATACTTTATGTATGTGTGAACTACAGTTCAACTAACAGATGACCATCATCTTTATAAACATGGTGTGAAAAACTGTGAGAGGAGATCAGAAGTCCCAGGAAGCAGGTGTAAAGAGAGAACAGCAGAGAATGCAGCACAGAGCTTTGAGGGACACCAGTAGAGTGAGGCAAGGAGAGCAAGCTATATCAAAGAGACCTGGGAAGTGTGATTGGCAAAGCAGGAGGAGAACTGAGTGTAAGAAGCTAGAGATCTGCAACTCAGTAAGTGTAGCCAGAATGTTAGAAGAGATTATGGACAGCAGCCCAGAAGAGGTGGGTAGGGATGGGTTTCTAAATGCAGGTTGTAAGTTTATAGGAACAAGGAAGAGAGGTCAGTCAGACAGGGATCTGAAGTTGGAGAAGTGGGGGAGGGTGTCAAAGGAGGAACAAGGAAGGGAGAGGTATAGGCTGAAGGTGGGGGGCGGGTAAAGATGGAGGTAAAGAGTGAAAAGTTTGCAGATGTTTGGAATTTTAGTGATGAAGAATGAAGCAAAGTCATCAGCTGAGGGAAAGGGATGAAAAGGTGGAGATGAATGGGTAGAGGAACAGTAAGCATGCAGACAGATGAGTGGACAGAGGAAGTTAAAAAATAAGATTTACATATTTAAAGGATTCATGATATGAATTCCCCATAATATACAACACCTTTAAAAAAATTGGTTTCACTCCTGTATAATACATGCTCTATTGTACATGCTGTTTTACAATCATAATACTACAAAACATTAAACAACCATGTATAATTTTCCTTCTTTTAATAGAACTATATTTCCTCCAAAGATAAAAAGTTTCTCATGAATCCTGAGATAGCAGACCAATGGACTAATCCAGACATGAGGAATAAATGATATTGGATCACCATCACAATCTCTCACCTGACCCACACAACCATAGACTTACAGTTATTTTAATACATAAACCAGATGCACCGACACACAACAGATTCTACTTTTAATTCTCTCATTTTAATTTTATTATTTTAAAATAGCAGGTCTCTGTAAAACACATACAGTATGTCATTGGGAACACTAAATGACCTGGATTCTTTATTCTGGAAAATTGTGATTGGCAATATGCACTTAAAAAGTGGTACCATTACCACATTCATGTTGCTGCAAGAATTATGAGACAAAAGAATAGTATTCTACTGTATGCCAGTGGCTGGAAAGTTCCAAAATATTTCACAGAAATATATAGTCAATTAATAATGCAGAACCCTTATGATAAGACTAAATTTAAAGTACATAAAAGAAAACTTTATTTTGAGGCTAATAGTACATATTTTGCCTTTGTTACCACAAGAAGGATCCTAATTTTGCAAATGCCCTTCCCCCGTGAGGGTATCCCAGGCACAGTACTACAGTTAAGGTCCCCTTGGATTCCAGATAGGGAATAATTGTTTATCTGTTCAATTTAATTTAAAAAAATAGCATGGTTCTATTCAAAGATAAAAAGCTTGGCACTGTGATAAAGAGGAAAGAACATTAAGTAAGCAAAACTTAACTGGTTTTCAAATGTTTGCATATTAAAAATTGGAAGTTGAATAATTTATTTTAAATCTGTAACCTATAACCTAGTGTTTAACTGTACACTAATAAAGCAAGAAAAAACAGATACGGTAATGATTTAATTTGAAATAATCACAGGATATCAGATGTTCTCTCACTTTCCATAATCACATATTTCTCCAAAGGACATCTTAGATCTGTAGATGTGTCCTGTGCTCAGCATAGAATAACAATTATCATGAGCTGTTTTCCATGATAACAGGTTTTGAAGGTGTCCTTAAATTTGAAATTTTAGCTAAAGACCTTAATTTAAACTTAATTGTTTCAATTTAGTAATTATGAGCCTAAATGGAATTAAACCCAGACATCCTTGTGGCTCTATAGTACTGTTCTGCAAGAAAAATGTTGAATTTTAAAACAGAGGAAGACTGAACTGATTGTGAAGCTGCACACTGAGATCACAAGTAGTAACACTACTGGATTAAGTAGAAGAAAAGCATTGCATTGTTTGATTCCTTTTATACTGAAGAAAAAAAGAGACTCTGCAGGGCGAGTGGGCAGAAAAGTGGATAGACCTTACCACTGCTTACATAATAAATAATCCTATGAAGTTTTTTGGGGGGTTCTAGGAAATTAAAAGATCATTCCAAGTTTGTATTAGGCTGTGTGGTAAACCATGCAGTAGTACTTCATCCTGACACCTGTGAGAGCCTCTCAGTGGTAGCCAAGATCTTTGGTTTATGTCATTTAATGAACTGGAAGTGAGGATGACTTTCCACTTATACTCAAGTCTGTGTAACAGGACAGTGAGACCGT